TATACTGTTAGCAACAAATCACTAAAATAACTCGGCAAACATTAAAATTCGATGCTAGTGCTGTTGCTAGGATGTTAGTACATGTCTATACGCAATTATGCCGGGCTTGTCGATCCTTAACTGCATACCCTCGGGAAGAGTTTCAGCTACTGTTTTCCGGCTGATCCTCAAGTTGGCACGGCGCCAACCGCGAACTTTGACGTGACTGCACATGTGGGTAGGCCTGCCGTGTGAGAAACAGAAACGCAGTCGAGGCTCCGTCTTTCGAAAGTCAAGAATTGCTTGGGAGAACACCGAAAACATAGATTTGTATTTTGGAAGAAAAAGTATAAAAATTCGCAGCTACAAACTGAAAAGCAAGTAACATACTGAGATCGTTCATGCATAGCGCACGTGTTCTTGCCACGAATTAATGCTTCCAGTCTCGGCGGCATTTGACGTATGCGAGTACCTGCAACATTACATCCCAGCATTATTTAGCAACTAATCATGTGCTTTTCCTCACTTTCTAGTCCATGTAGTAGGAGGGAAAATTCGAGTTTCACATCAATACATGTGGTTTTCTTTTGCTGGAAGAAATTTGCTTCTAACACTGATGCATCAAGCTGTACCTGACAAACTGCCAGGAAAATGTGGTCAGTGCAATCTCCTCAACAGCATCTACCGTAAATTCCTGGTACCTTGCAGTGCGTAAAATAAGCTTTGTAAAACAAAAAATACTAGCCTTTTGCGTGCAAAATAACTCACTGACGGAGAGAGACTGATGAAAAATGACTCACTGATGGACATGGCGCCAATTTTTTTGTCCAAGCCAACGGGACTGTTGGACGAGGAAAGAGGTGAATGCGATGGCAGTGTAGACGAGGATGAGCTGGTCATCTCCCCCAGTGAAGCTAAAAATACTGACGCGCTTGCTGGTACCTGCAAAAAGGCGTACTGAAATTCGTGATGCTTTGAACAAAGGCTACCGCGAAAATCGAACTCGCTTCGAATATGAAGCCCCCAGAGTCGCTAGGGATTGTGGCAATACTGATTATAGCTGCTGTTGAGTTGCTTGCCTTTGGCAAACATGCTCGATGTTATTGGCGTTGCTGGGATGCTCCCATATACCGGACAGAGCTATGCCAGACCTTTCGTTTCTTGGTTAAATACTCCCAGTTAGCACTCACCGCTTGTTTGATGTATGTGAGTAACCCCCATCCCCTCGACCCCGGACACGCCCAGGTAGTCGTTTTTGCTTCACTGCGAGTACCACTCGCCAATATCTCGCGTCTGCCGAGTGTCAGCAAGCCAGCGACACGTCTTGTCCATAGAATTTAAGTTTTTCGAGCGATTGGTAAAGTAATACTTCGTCAAGAAATAATGCTAATGATCATGCAAGTGATCTGAGCCTGCATATATGTATGTAGCCTTCAAAGATGGATTTTCATATGTCCGAATTTTCCTTCCCTTTACTTCTTCACCGTTTTGTTTCTGTGCTGTAGGAAAACCGTGGCAATCATTTCCCTCAAAACTGCTTGTTCTTTCACAACCTCACCAATCCCCCATGTAACTAATTCAAATCAATTAACATCTATTTCATGATAATTAACCTTTTCATAGATCAGTAAATACGCATTCCACCATCGCTTCTGTTTCTTCTTATGAAAGTGAATGGTGCCACTTTCGAGCGATTCCGAAAGATAATCGCCACCAAACCACATATTTCTCATTTCCTACAATTTCCAATCAACGTACAGAAAGCCAAGCACTGCTTGTATCACATACCTAATTATATGTATACATGTATGTACATATGTATATTTGATAGTATCTACGTGCAAGCGCATCACCTACAGATCCACGAGAGCCAAAATCAAGAAATTGCCGCTTTTAAAAAAAAAGCTAACCTCCAAGCTGAGCTGCCATTCGGTTACGTCTGTATCGTCGAATTTGAACCAG